TATTCTCCATCGGTAATGAAGTCTATTGATCCAATTCTCCACGGATGATAAGTCCATTAAGCACTGATTTGGGCAAATTTATTTTCTGATGGCATTTTCGTATTTTTTGGTCGAGAAAGGCCATTTTTTTTGGATTTTAAAGGCTATTGATCACGTATTAGGCCTGAGGCTATTCTTCAACGATGATTAATTCCATTAAGCGCCGATTTGGGCGAATTTTTTCCGGGTCCATTTTGGGCAGATTCCAAAGGGGTACCATCACTGATTTCGGGCGATTTTTTCGAAATGCCATTTTCTTTCGATTATGGATTCTGCTTATCCCGGAATAAAGCCGAGCCTATTCTCCACCGATAATGAAGTCTATTGATCCTATTCTCCACGGACGATAAGTCCATTAAGCACCGATTTGGGCCAATTTATTTTGCAGATGGCATTTTCGTATTTTTTGGGCGACGAAAGGCCATTTTCTTTGGATTTTGAAGGCTATTGATCACGTATTTGGCCTGAGGCTATTCTTCAACGATGATTAAGTCCATTAACCGCCGATTTGGGCGATTTTATTCCGAGTCCATTTTTGGCAGATTCCAAAGGGGTACCATCACAGATTTCGGGCGATTTTTTCCGAAATGCAATTTTCTTTTGATTATGGAGGCGGCAGATCACGGAATCAGTCCGAGGCTATTCTCCATCGATAATGAAGTCTATTGATACTATTCTCCATGGATGATAAGTCCATTAAGCACCGATTTGGGAAATTTATTTTCCGATGGCATTTTCGTAATTTTTTTGGGCGACGAAAGCCCGTTTTCCTAGGATTTTGAAGGCTATTGATCACGGATTAGGCCTGAAGCTATTTTTCAACGATGATTAACTCCTTTAAGCGCCAATTTGGGCGAATTTTTTCCGCATCCATTTTGGGCTGATTCCAAAATGTCATTTTCTTTCGATTATGGATTCTGCATATCACGAAATAAGGCCGAGCCTATTCTCCACCGATAATGAAGTCTATTGAACCTATTATCCACGGACGATAAGTCCATTAAGCACCGATTTGGGCCAATTTATTTTCGGATGGCATTTTCGTATTTTTTGGGCGACGAAAGGCCATTTTCTTTGGATATTGAAGGCTACTTATCACGGATTAGGCCTGAGGCTATTCTTCAACGATGATTAAGTCCATTAACAGCCGATTTGGGCGATTTTATTCCGAGTCCATTTTTGGCAGATTCCAAAGGGGTACCTTCACAGATTTCGGGCGATTTTTCCGAAATGCAATTTTCTTTTAATTATGGAGGCGGCAGATCACGGAATCAGTCTGAGGCTATTCTCCATCGATAATGAAGTCTATTGATACTATTCTCCATGGATGATAAGTCCATTAAGCACCGATTTGGGAAATTTATTTTCGGATGGCATTTTCGTATTTTTTGGTCGAGAATGGCCATTTTCTTTGGATTTTGAAGGCTATTGATCACGTATTAAGCCTGAGGCTATTCTTCAACGATGATTAATTCCATTAAGCGCCGATTTGGGCGAATTTATTCCGGGTCCATTTTGGGCAGATTCTAAAGGGGTACCATCACTGATTTCGGGCGATTTTTTCGAAATGCAATATTCTTTCGATTTTGGAGGCTGTATATCACGAAATCAGGCCGAGCCTATTCTCCATCGATAATGAAGTCTATTAATACTATTCTCCACGGATGATAAGTCCATTAAGCACCGATTTGGGTCAATTTATTTTCGGATGGCATTTTCGTATTTTTTGGGCGACGAAAGGCCATTTTCTTTGAATTTTGAAGGCTACAGATCACGGATTCAGCCTGAGGCTATTCTTCAACGATGATTAAGTCCATTAAGCGCCGATTTTGACGAATTTATTCCGGGTCCATTTTGGGCAGATTCCAAAGGGGAACCATCTCAGATTTCGGGGGATTTTTCCGAAATGCCATTTTCTTTCGATTATGGATGCTGCAGATCACGGAATCAGGCCGAGCCTATTCTCCACCGATAATGAATGTCTATTGATCCTATTCTCCCCAGATGATAAGTCTATTAAATACGATTTGGTCCAATTTATTTTCTGATGGCTTTTTCGTATTTTTTGGGCGACGAAAGGCCATTTTCTTTGGATTTTGAAGGCTACAGATCACAGATTATCCCTGAGGCTATTCTTCAACGATGATTAAGTACATTAAGCGTCGATTTGGGCGGATTTATTCCGGGTCCATTTTGGGCAGATTCCAAAGGGGTAACATCACAGATTTCGGGCAATTTTTCCGTACTCCATTTTCTTTCGATTATGGATGCTGCAGATCACGCAATCATGCTGAGCCTATTCTCCACCGATAATGAAGTCTATTGATCCTATTATCCACGGATGATAAGTCCATTAAGCACCGATTTGGCCAATATATTTTTGAATTGCATTTTCGTAATTTTTTGGGCGACGAAAGGCCATTTTCTTTGGAGTTTGAAGGCTACAGATCACGGATTCGGCCTGAGGCTATTCTTCAACGATGATTAAGTCCATTAAGCGCTGATTTTGGCGAATTTATTACGGGTCCATTTTGGGCAGATTCCAAAGGCGAACCATCACAGATTTCGGGTGATTTTTCCGAAATGCCATTTTCTTTCGATTATGAGTGCTGCAGATCACAGAATCAGGCCGAGCCTATTCTCCACCGATAATGAAGCCTATTGATTCTATTCTCCACGGATGATAAGTTCATTAAGCACCGATTTGGGTCAATTTATTTTCGGATGGCATTTTCTTATTATTTGGGCGACGAAAGGCCATTTTCTTTGGATTTTGAAGGCTATTGATCACAGATTAGGCCTGAGGCTACTCTTCAACGATGATTAAGTCCATTAAGTGCCGATTTGGGCGAATTTATTCTGGGTCTATTTTTGGCAGATTCCAAAGGGGAACCATCACAGATTTCAGGCTATTTTTCCTAAATGCAATATTCTTTCGATTTTGGAGGCTGTATATCACGAAATCAGGCCGAGCCTATTCTCCATCGATAATGAAGTCTATTAATACTATTCTCCACGAATGATAAGTCCATTAAGCACCGATTTGGGTCAATTTATTTTCGGATGGCATTTTCGTATTTTTTGGGCGACGAAAGGCCATTTTCTTTGGATTTTGAAGGCTACAGATCACGGATTCAGCCTGAGGCTATTCTTCAACGATGATTAAGTCCATTAAGCGCCGATTTTGACGAATTTATTCCGGGTCCATTTTGGGCAGATTCCAAAGGGGAACCATCTCAGATTTCGGGGATTTTTCCGAAATGCCATTTTCTTTTCGATTCTGGAGGCTGCAGATCACGTAATCAGGCCGAGCCTATATCCACCGATAATGAAGTCTATTGATACTATTCTCCCCAGATGATAAGTCCATTAAGCACCGATTTGGCCCAATTTATTTTCTGATGGCATTTTTCGTAATTTTTTGGCGACGAAAGGCCATTTTCTTTGGATTTTGAAGGCTACAGATCGCGATTCGGCCTGAGGCTATTCTTCAACGATGATTAAGTCCATTAAGCTGCCGATTTGGGCGAATTTATTCCGGGCCCATTTTGGCAGATTCCAAAGGGGTACCATCACAGATTTCGGGCAATTTTTCCGAAATGCCATTTTCTTTCGATTCTGGAGGCTGCAGATCACGAATCAGGCTGAGCCTATATCCACCGATAATGAAGTCTATTGATCCTATTCTCCACGGATGATAAGTCCATTAAGCACCGATTTGGCCCAATTTATTTTCGGATGGCATTTTCGTAATTTTTTGGGCGACGAAAGGCCATTTTCTTTGGAGTTTGAAGGCTACAGATCACGGATTCGGCCTGAGGCTATTCTTCAACGATGATTAAGTCCATTAAGCGCTGATTTTGGCGAATTTATTACGGGTCCATTTCGGGCAGATTCCAAAGGCGAACCATCACAGATTTCGGGCGATTTTTCCGAAATGCCATTTTCTTTCGATTATGGGTGCTGCAGATCACAGAATCAGGCCGAGCCTATTCTCCACCGATAATGAAGCCTATTGATTCTATTCTCCACGGATGATAAGTTCATTAAGCACCGATTTGGCCAATATATTTTTGAATTGCATTTTCGTAATTTTTTGGGCGACGAAATGCCATTTTCTTTGGAGTTTGAAGGCTACAGATCACGGATTCGGCCTGAGGCTATTCTTCAACGATGATTAAGTCCATTAAGCGCCGATTTTGACGAATTTATTCCGGGTCCATTTTGGGCAGATTCCAAAGGGGAACCATCTCAGATTTCGGGGGATTTTTCCGAAATGCCATTTTCTTTCGATTATGGATGCTGCAGATCACAGAATCAGGCCGAGCCTATTCTCCACCGATAATGAATGTCTATTGATCCTATTCTCCCAGATGATAAGTCTATTAAATCACGATTTGGTCCAATTTATTTTCTGATGGCATTTTTCGTATTTTTTGGGCGACGAAAGGCCATTTTCTTTGGATTTTGAAGGCTACAGATCACAGATTAGCCTGAGGCTATTCTTCAACGATGATTAAGTACATTAAGCGTCCGATTTGGGCGAATTTATTCCGGGTCCATTTTGGGCAGAATTCCAAAGGGGTAACATCACAGATTTCGGGCAATTTTTCCGTAAATGCCATTTTCTTTCGATTATGGATGCTGCAGATCACGCAATCATGCTGAGCCTATTCTCCACCGATAATGAAGTCTATTGATCCTATTATCCACGGATGATAAGTCCATTAAGCACCGATTTGGGCCAATATATTTTCGATTGCATTTTCGTAATTTTTTGGGCGACGAAAGGCCATTTTCTTTGGAGTTTGAAGGCTACATGCTATTTAGATGAAGTTCATTTTCTATGGTCTCTCACTAGTGTGTGGAATGCTTACTGTTACTATAACTGGCATAATTCGAGTTCTTGTATGAACATTGATTTAGTGTAGGATAACTGTTATATATAAGATAATCAGAGCTAATGTATTCTTTCTGATGATTTTGTTTTGAATTGCTAGTTTTATGTCATCTTGTAGTTGTATCCTTGGGCTAACAGCATGCTCTCTTCTGTTAGATAGAAGCATACCCAAAGACAACGGCTGTTCTAGTTCGAAACCATGGAATATATGTATGGGGGGACACATGGATTAGCGCCAAAACTCAGGTTTGTCTTACACACTGTATAACTTGACATTTTCGACAAATCAGACGAGTGTTATTTTATGGAAGACCTTCTACATGGTGTGTTGTTCCTACCTCCTATAATTCTATTGCTTAATTTCTTCTCTTGTTCATACTAATACTGGCTGTATAATATGTTGCACTTCTAATATTCGCATGAGTTAACAGTCAGAAGATGGATAACAGTTATGTTTTGGAGTGCGGTACTTTATTGTGTTCCCTAGCTCATTCGTTTATTCTCTTATGACTGGGAAAACTATTGCAGGCTGAATGTTATCATTATCTGTTCGATGCTGCAATCAAACTTCATCAAATGGGCCTGGACTGGTCTACCCCAAGCCATGGCCCGATCCAGCAGGACAGAGGAGCTATAAGTGCACCAGTGAAGGCAGGACTGAAGGATTCAAATCACAATAGTGAGCCTTTGCCTGTAAGCTCTCTTGTGCATGATACTGTTAGTTCAAATATATACTTTGATATGGTGTAATGTCTTGATCTGGGAAATGAGTAAATTAAAGCTTTCTTGGACATCATTACTCTGGTAGCTCTTTGAAGATCTATAACTGAAATTTTTCCAGCGCTGCATCCTCCTGGACATTGAAGGGACTACCACACCTATAACGTTTGTAGCTGATGTCCTTTTTCCTTATGCACGTGACAATGTGGGAAAGCATCTGTCCGCAACATATGACACCGAAGATACTCAAGAAGATATAAAGTTGTTGCGATCCCAGGTAATTTTATGAAGTGTCTTTGGTTTACTTATACATGCATGTTGCTTATGGTTCCATCTCTTGCAAAGGGCCACTTGGAAAAATTTGCATGTTGTTTTGGTCTTGGAATTTGAAAAATGACTCTTTGTAGGGCATTTTTGTCCTTTAATTTAGTTCTTTGTTGCTTCTTAACAGGTTGAAGATGACTTGGCGCAAGGTATTGATGGCGCTGTGTCCATTCCACCAAATGATGCTGGAAAGGATGCCGTGATTGCAGCACTGGTTGCTAATGTTGAGGCAATGATAAGAGCAGATCGCAAGATCACTGCCTTGAAACAATTACAAGTATGTTCTCTCGTGGACAAGAGATAGCTCTTCCACTGAACTCAAATCAATAATATGTCTTCTAAAGGTGGCCGAGACATTGTTCATGCAGGGGCACATATGGAGAACTGGCTTTCAGAACAATGAACTGAAAGGAGAATTTTACAATGATGTACCTGAAGCATTGCAGAGCTGGCATTCCTTGGGCATAAAGGTGACCTTTTCATTTCCCCTTTGGTCAGCATCCCTTCCTTAGTACTACCAAGCAATTAAGTTGTTTTCATGACATATAATATTCATTTTGAACATTTCTCAATAACTCGAGTTATTAGAATAAACTAGTTGTTGATGCTATCAGAGCCTAATTGACTGAGATCTCATGTTTGAATCCTAGTTAATCTCAATATTAACAGTTGAATTGAGGTACAGAATAATGTCCCAATTAAGTAACTGCCCTGTTTTCTGTCTCAGATCTATATATACTCCAGCGGTAGCAGGTTGGCACAACGGCTTATATTTGGGAACACAAAGTCTGGAGATTTGAGGAAATACTTGTCTGGGTTTTTCGACACTAATGTTGGGTAAGCTCTGTACATTTTCACTGCTGCTGGATGACCACCTTGTAGATTCCCTTTCAGTTTAGTCAAGTAACAAACTTGCGCTTGTTATTGTTGTTCACTCTGTAGGAACAAGAGGGAGACAAGCAGTTACATTCAGATTTCTGAATCATTGGGAGTAGATAACCCATCCGAAATCTTGTTCTTGACAGATGTCGTTCAAGAAGCAGTTGCAGCGAAAGCAGCAGGTAAACACAGTAGCCTCTTTTACTTAGTTAATCTGCAGGCCTTAGCATGTCTTCTTTCTTCACCGCACTAGGGGTCAAGTAGTAGTACATAAATGGTCATTAAATTTGGGATTAGCAAATTGGACCATGAATGTCGAGATTTAACAAACTTGTCGATCAGGAAACCTAGCATAACTTGTCATGTATGTCTGTGAACAGCATATATAGTTGTTGAAACTTAACTGCTTTTCTGCTTTCAAACATTCTTTCTTCCTGAGACGATCGGAAGTTCTGAATCTGACTGACAAAATGCACAATGTTGCCATGTGATCAATCAGGTCTGAAGGCGATGATCTCTGTTCGGCCAGGGAACGCACCTCTGCCTGAGAATCATGGGTTCAAGACCATCAACTCTTTTCTGGAAATATGACATTCATCCCCTAATGTGCTTGTTGGTTTGCACTGTATCATCTAATGCCCTCTGTGTTACTTTTTCTTATATCATCTGAACACTAAAACACTACTAGCACCTGGTGACTTGTACAAACGAAATAAATCCCTGTATCTTACGGTCTACTGTTTGGATGTGAGATTGTTAAAATGAAAGCGGATATCGATATTGGTGTCAAAACAAAGGTAGCTAAATCCATCTCCGTCTGTCCTAACAACTCGGTATATGATTCACGATTGAACATTTCCCAACAACTCGAGTTATTAGGATCAACTGGTTGTTCATAGTTGAGTGCCCACATTTGTTTGTTTTGAGATTCAAATGTTGGTCATAGTGTCACTCCTCAACTTATTAGATAAGAATGTAGAAAGAATGAGAGTAGAGGACGACTTCAAGTTCTTTTGTTCTCATCGTGGAAACCAGCTTGTAATTGCCTGTCTAGCAAGCTAATTGCAGACTGAGCCATAAATGATCAGGAAAAGGGCGGCAAAAGTCAGACTGAAAAGTCAATCATTTTGTCTGTTAGTCTTGTGTCTGTACTGTAGCGATTGTATTGTTTCTTACAAAAATTATGAGAAACAGAGAGAGAGAGAGAGACGAGAAGATGATGATAATCATATTAATCAATCCTACAATTAGAAAGAGGCAAGCAAACAAATAAAGATCATCACTTTAATCTCTCCCTCCAAAATCCAAACCATTACCACAATCAATAAGTGCATAACCCATCCAAGAGAATCACAGATGTAAAGAAAATTTTCAGGGCTCCGGAGGCTGCGATTCCGCCGCCCTCGGCGACGTCAGAGGGAACAGCGTCAGCAGCTGAGGCTCGGATCCTCTCGGCGAGGGATGCAGATAAAACCCCTTTTCCGCAATCGCCCGGTCCTCCTCCTCCAACGGCGACGACGAGCTGCTGCTACTGCTGCAGTTCCCCGCCGACGAGGGGCAGGGCGACGATGAATTGTTATTGTTGTGGAAGAACGGATCTTGATTCAACGGAGTCACTGGGCTCAGCGTCAGCTTGGGGAAATCCAGCAAGCTCGGTGACAAGATCTCCGCGGCGGAGGCGGAGGACGGGGAGATAGACGAGATGAGATTGGAATGGAAGGTGAACCGGCCGGCGGCCGGAAGCAGAGTATTGATCATGAGGCTGCGGCGCTTGAAGCTGTTTCTCCTCCTCTCGTAGAGTTGTTGCTGCTGCTGCTGTTTCTTGTTGGGTATGCTTTTGATCGGAGGAATGGGGAAATTGGCGCTGCCCCTCACCGCCTGCGGCGGTGGTGGAGGATCTTGAGGTCTTGGAGAGGAGGCTTGTTTGGCTGTGTCGGCGGATCCGGTGAGTATTTGGACGACTTGCTTGAAAGTTGAGGTATTTGCCTGGACGAAGGTTGTTGGGTAAGGATTCATATGGTGATTGTGGTGGTGGTGGTGATAATCAGATCTGGGGATTTGGATGCCGCCGGCGCCATTAGAATTACTGAAATTGCCGTTTGGGGAAGCCAATGGAGATGATTGTTGTTGGAAAAGATTATTCTGCTGGGTCTCAGATGATGATGAAGCATAATTGTACATTAGTGCTCTGCCTACTGCACTGTTACTACTGCTGCCTTCCATTTGTGGAGGGAGAGAGAGATGAGCTTGGTTGGAGCAAGGGAGATTTTGCAGTGTGTGTTATGTGTATATATATAATTGCAGACTCAAATGTGTAAAGGAAGGAAGGAAAAAGAGGAGAAAAGGGGGGGGATTGGTTGATGCACTATGGAATTGCTTTTGGACTATTAACTTGGAGGGAGGAGCATATGAGCCACACCACTCCCTAGCAGCTAGCTACCTCTTTGGAATCAATCCACCAAAATATCAAATGGTTTACACTTATATTAGGTGCATTTTGTCAGGGGTACCATCATCGATTTCGGACGATTTTCCCGAAATGTTATTTTTTATATTTATTTTGAAGGCTACAGATCACGAATTCAGCCCGAGGCTATTGATTATATTCTCCTACGAAGATCAAGTCCATTAAGCACCGATTTGGGCAAATTAATTTTCGGATGACATTTTCATAATTTTTTGGGCAATTTTTTTTTTTGAAAAACAATTTTCCTTGGTTTTTTAAGGCTATATATCACGGTTTCAGCCTGAGCCTATTCTTCAACTATGATTAAGTCCATTAAGCAGCAATTTGGGCGGATTTCTTCCGGGTACATTTTTGGCAGACTCCAAAGGGATCACCGCTTTCAGGCGATTTTCCCGAAATGCCGTTTTCTTTCAATTTTGAAGACACAGATCACAGATTCGGCCTGATGTTATTCTCCACCTATAATGAAGTCTATTGATCCTATTCTCCACCGATGATTACGTCCATTAAGCACAAATTTGGGTGAATTCATTTTCGGATGACATTTTCGTAATTTTTTTGGCTTTTTTTTTGAAATGTCATTTTCCTTGGATTTAGAAGGCAACAGATCTTTCTACCAAAAAAAAAAAAAAGAAGGCAACAGATCACGGATTCGGCCTAAGACTATTCTTCAATGATGATTAAGTCCATCCATCATCGATTTCGAGCGATTTTCCCGAAATACCATTTTCTTACGATCTTGAAGGCTACAGATCACGGATTCTGTTCGAGGTTATTCTCCAATGATAATGAAGTCTGTTGATCCTATTCTCCTCTGAAATCAAGTCCATTATGCACCAATTTGGGTGAATTCATTTTCGGATTACATTTTCGCAATTTTTTGGACGATTATTTTTGAAAAGTCATTCTTCTTGGATTTTGAAGGCTACAGATCACGAATTCGGCCTGAGGCTATTCTACAACAATGATTAACTCAACTAAGCACCGATTTGGGAGGATTTCTTACGGGTCCATTTTAGTCAGACTCCAAAGGGGTACCATCACCGATTTCAGGCAATTTTCCCAAAATGCTATTTTCTTTCGATGTTGAAGTCTATAGATTACGGATTCAACTTGAGGCTATTCGCCACCAATAATGAAGTCTATTGTTCCTATTTTCAGGCGATTTTTCTGAAATGTCATTTTCTTTCAATTCTAGAAGCAACAGATCACAAAATCAGGCCGAGGCTATTCTCCCCCGATAATGAAGTCTATTGAACCTATTCTCCACGGATGATAAGTTCATTAAGCATCGATTTGGGCCAATTTATTTTTGGATGGCATTTTCGTAATTTTTTGGGCGATGAAAGACCATTTTCTTTGGATTTTGAAGGCTACAGATCACGGATTCGGCCTGAGGCTATTCTTCAACGATGATTAAGTCCATTAAGAACCTATTTGGGCGAATTTATTCTTGGTCAATTTTTGGACGATTCCAAAGGGGTACCATCACAGATTTCAGGCGATTTTTTCGAGATGCCATTTTCTTACAATTCTGGAGGCTGCAGATCACGGAATCAGGCCGAGGCTATTCTCCACCGATAATGAAGTCTATTGATCCTATTCTCCACGGATGATAAGTCCATTGAGCACCGATTTGGAGCAATTTATTTTCGGATGGCATTTTTGTAATTTTTTTGTGCGGCGAAAGGTCATTTTCTTTGGAATTTGAAGGCTACAGATCACTTATTCGGCCCGAGGCTATTCTTCAACGATGATTAAGTCCATTAATCACCAATTTGGGTGGATTTATTCCGGGTCAATTTTTGCAGATTCTAAAGGGTACAGATTTTGGGCGATTTTTCCGAAATACCATTTTCTTTTGATTCTGGAGGCTGCAGATCACGGAATCAGGCGAAGGCTATTCTCCACTGATAATAAAGTCTATTGATCCTATTCTCCAAGGATGATAAGTTCATTAAGCATCGATTAGGGCCAATTTATTGTTGGATGACATTTGCGTAATTTATTGGGAGACGAAAGGCTATTTTCTTTGGATTTTGAAGGCTACAGATCACGGATTCGTGCTGAGGCTATTCTTCAATGATGATTAAGTCCATTAAGCACCGATTTGGGCGGATTTATTCCGGGTGAATTTTTGGTAGATTCCAAAGGGGTACCATCACAGATTTCAGGCGATTTTTTCGAAAGGCCATTTTCTTTTGATTCTGGAGGATGCAGAACACCAAATCAGGCCGCGGCTATTCTCCACCGATAATGAAGTCTACTTATCCTATTCTCTATGGATGATAAGTCTATTAAGCACCGATTTGGCCCAATTTATTTTTGGATGGCATTTCGTAATTTTTTGGGCGGTGGAAGGCCATTTTCTTTGGATTTTAATCGCTACAGATCACGGATTCGGCCTGAGTCTATTCTTGAACGATTATTAAGTTCATTAAGCACCGATTGGGGCAGATTTATTCTGGGTCAATTTTTGACAGATTTCAAAGGGGTACCATCACAGATTTCGAGTGATTTTTCCAAAATGCCATTTTCTTTCGATTCTAGAGGCCGCAGATCACGGAATCAGGTCGAGGCTATTCTCCATAGATAATGAAGTCTATTGATCCTATTCTCCACAGATGATAAGTCCATTAAGCACCGATTTGGGCTAATTTATTTTCGGATGACATTTTCGTAATTTTTTGTCGACAAAATGACATTTTCTTTGGATTTTGAAGGCTATAGATCACGGATTCGGACATGCTATACTTCAAAGATATTTAAGTCCATTAAGCACCGATTTGGGCGGATTTATTCCGGGTCTGTTTTTGGCAGAATCCAAAGGGGTACAATCATAGATTTCGGGCGATTTTTCCGAAATTCCATTTTCCTTCAATTCTAGAGGCTGCAGATCATGGAATCAAGCCTAGGCTATTCTCCACCGATAATGAAGGCTATTCATCCTATTCGACACGGATGATAAGTTCATTAAGCATCGATTTGGGCCAATTTATTTTCAGATGGCATTTTCGTAATTTTTTGGGCGACAAAATGCCATTTTCTTTGGATTTTGAAGGCTACAGATCACGGATTCGGCCTGAGGCTATTCTTCAATGATGATTAAATCCATTAAGGGGTACCATGAAAGATTCCAAAGGGGTACTATGACAGATTTCGGGCGATTTTTCCAAAATGCCATATTCTTTCGATTCAGGAGGCTCCAGATCACGGAATCAGACCGAGGCTATTCTCCACCGTTAATGAAGTCTATTGATCCTATTCTCCGCGGATGATACGTTCATTAAGCATCGATTTGGGCCAATTTATTTTCGGATGACATTTTCGTAATTTTTTTTCGACAAAAGGACATTTTCTTTGGATTTTGAAGGCTCCAGATCACGGATTCGGCAAGAGGCTATACTTCAACGATATTTAAGTCCATTAAGCACCGATTTGGGCGGATTTATTCCCGGTCAATTTTTGGCAGATTCCAAAGGGGTACCATCACAGATTTCGAGCGATTTTTTCGAAATGTCATTTTCTTTTGATTCCGGAGGCTGCAGATCATGGAATCAGGCTAAGGGAATTCTCCACTGATAATGAATTCTATTGATTCTATTCTCCACGGATGATAACTCCATTAAGCACCGATTTGGCCCAATTTATTTTTGGATGGCATTTCGTAAGTTTTTAGGTGATGAAAGGCCATTTTCTTTGGATTTTGATGGCTACAGATCACGGATTCGGCCTGAGTCTATTCTTGAACGATGATTAAGTCCATTAAGCACCGATTGGGGCGGATTTTTTCCGGTTCAATTTTTGGCTGATTCCAAAGGGGTGCCATCACAGATTTCGAGCGATTTTTCCTAAATGCCATTTTCTTTCGAATCTGGAGGCTACAGATCACGAATTAGGCCGAGGCTATTCTCCTCCGTTAATGAAGTTTATTTATCCTATTCTCCACGGATGATAAGTTCATTAAGCATCGATTTGGGTCAATTTATTTTTTGATGGTATTTTCATAATTTTTTGGGGCGACAAAATGCCATTTTCTTTGGATTTTGAAGGCTACAGATCACGGATTCGGGCTAAGGCTATTCTTCAACGATGATTAAGTCCATTAAGCACCGATTTGGGCGGATTTATTCCGGGTAATTTTTTGCAGATTCCAAAGGGGTACCATTATAGATTTCAGTTGATTTTTCCGAAATGCCATTTTCTTTCGATTCTGGAGGCTGCAGATCACTATCATGCCGAGGCTATTCTCCACCGATAATGATGTCTATTCATCCAATTCTCCATGGATGATAAGTTCATTAAGCATCGATTTGGGCCATTTTATTTTCGGATAACATTTTCGTAATTTTTTCGGCGACAAAAGGCCATTTTCTTTGGATTTTGAAGGCTACAGATCACGGATTCGGCCTGAGGCTATTCTTCAACGATGATTAAGTCCATTAAGCACCGATTTTGGCGGATTTATTCCGGGTCAATTTTTGGCAGATTCCAAAGGGGTACCATCCCAGCTTTCAAGCGATTTTTCCGAAATGCAATTTTCTTTCGATTCAGGAGGCTCTAGATCACGAAATCAGGCCGAGGCTATTCTCCTCCGTTAATGAAGTCTATTGATCCTATTCTCCGCAGATGATAAGTTCATTAAGCATCGATTTGGGCCAATTTATTTTCGGATGACATTTTCATAATATTTTTGTCGACAAAAGGAGATTTTCATTGGATTTTGAAGGCTACAGATCACGAATTCGGCCGGAGG